TATATATATAAATCTGAAATTTAATAATAAAAAATATTAAATTATAAGGAAAAAATTACATTTATTACAATACAATAATACAAGATTTAAAACATGTTTTTATTGGATACAACATATTCACAACATAATCCTGTTTACCTAACTATATATAAAAAAAAACATAACTATATATAAAAAACCACACATAAAAAACATTTAAAAAAAACATATAATATACTATAACCATATATAAAAAACCATATAACATGCTATAACCATACATAAAATTCCATATAACATGCTACAACATATTCGTATTATATTTACTTCACGTTTTTTCTTTTTCATTTCATACAATTGTATGCTTCATAGGTTTCCTCCTTCGTCCATAACTAGACGGGTGGAGAGTCTTTTGTGAGTTTCAGAAGTATATGAGAAACTCGCAGCCTTGGCAGCACTATCTTATCAATCTAAATGAAATGTGCAGTGATAATTCAGTTTAAAAAACATTACTCCTTTTCTCAGATGGCAACACAACTGACATAAATCGGCATTCATCAAAACCCGGTTGATGTTGAAGGGACTCACTCACAGCTGATTCAGAATCTGATATCCTCTTAAGAAATCCAAATATTCTTCAGTCTTGATGAGAAGAAAACATATTGGTCACATGGATCAATCTGCAAAATGAAACACAACGATTAACCTGGCAAAATAAATCACAAGGATCAATCTGATGAAATCCAACAAATGTTGATTGTATTTACATCAGCAAAAAATGTCTCTGCTAGAGGGCCAGTTAAAATACTTGATGGGCAACTAAGATTCCCTGAGGGTAATACTCCTTGACAGTCACTCTTTGAAGAATCCAAAATTGTTGTACCGCAATGGTTCTGGCATTGGTAGCCATACAAGCAAAAGTGACAAATAAGTTGTTGTGTGCCAGTAACAGTACATTCAAGGTCCTTCTGATTTTTACGTGTCGTACGAAGGTGATGCCGCATTCTTTTTCAAAAAACTGCTTTTGAGCTGGTGATCAGACACCCAATAGGGGATCTTTTAAAGTCAGTAGGTCTTGCATCACATAGTGCATAGTCGCTTTCCAACTCGCCACATCCATGCGAAAGACTGTGGGGTTGACTATGTCGGCAACATCTTTGCACAGATGATGCAGTTGTTCTTTGTTGCCATTCAAGCATTGAGTGTGATGATCCTTGAAAAGAGTAGAGTCTTTTGGCAGGTTCATTTCTAAAATAGACCAAAAGGACCATTTCCTGCACTAAATTCATGAACGTTCTGAGCTTGAAAGTTTCCACTGTAGTAAAATCATTTTTACAATGCTGAAAAGCTCCTGTAAGGCAGTAATTCAACTGTTGCTGTATATCCTCCCCACAAAAAACATTAGCCATTTTTATCCACTTGATTTAGTTAAATATGAAAGATAAAGACATTGTACTGAAGATTCATGTATAGTATAGTTTTAATAGATCGATGTAAAAAAGAAATTAATAATTAACCTAATTCAATTCCCCTTTCTTGCGTGTAAATACAATTTCTCCTCATGATTTATACAGTCATCAATTTAGTATCAGACAACATAAATAATTTTAGAGTATCATTTGTCTTATAAAAAATATTAGACATTTTAATAAACTTGATTTAGTCAAATATGAAATGTTAAGATATTGTACTGAAGATTTATATATAGTCTAGTTTTTATAGATCAATGTAAAAAAAATTAACAATTACTCTAATTCATTTCCTCTTTCTCGAGTGTAAATACAATTTTTCTTAATGATTTTATACACTCATCAATTTAAGTATCCGATAACATAAATAATTTTAAAGTATCAATCATTCATGGAAGATTCCATTTGGAAATGCATTCTTGAGTAGCCTTCATCAACATTTTAATAACTTCTAATAATTTTCTTGCCATTGAAAATACTCCCTTTCATGGTAAACCAGTTTTCTTGTCAAAGTTGATGAGTACATGTCCCAAAGCTATTGTGAATGCCATCTGATCTACAGAATTTTCAAAAATGGTTGCTGAAAATAACTCACATTTTTTCTTTAAAAAATTGCTCCAATTATCCGTATTTCATTAATTTTTTTAAAAAATATTCTATAGCATCACCTTTTTGCATAGCTTTTACCACGTAGCA